CACAGTTCATCTGGGCGACTACATTTCATATACGAGGGCGTTTGCTGTCTATTATCGATTTAATGTATAATATGCATGATCCGGATGTACACAGGGTGGTTAAAAACAGTTAATTTTTTACAGTTTTTGCAAATATACTCTATGCGGATTTGGACGATGAAAAAACGGATCAATTGATTCGTCGTCGAGCCGATGTAAATAACGGAGACTGCCGTATTCGTAATTGCCCATAACTGTAGCTCTAACTGGGCTTATGGTTCATAAATTTTCCTTCTAATTAATGCCATGGCGTTTCGACAACCACCACAGTCTACAGTCGGCATGGCTTCATCATAAAAATTGTGCACGGCGACTTCGGCCTGTCGGATGTACTAATTACTTAACTAATTAGGCTTTGATTTTAATTATTGCATTATGTAAACGAGCTTGCAGGTATTAGTTGTGGTTAACAATCATTTTCTTTGGGCAGGCAGATTTTCCTGTTTGAGTCCGAACTGTGGGCACATTTATAGAGGCGTCAACCAGTCTGGTAATTATAAAATAACCGGCAAATTAACAGGCCATAAACTCGGGGGGCCGATTATCAGCGAAATTCAAACATGAGTTTCTCTTGCGGAGAAGAAGACAAATGCCGACTGCCTAATTGGAGTTCGGGCGGTCACTCGCTTTCTTAAAATAGTGGCTCGCAAAGAAGTTGTCGCAGCCCGAAACTGTGTCGACACACCGAAGTAAAAACTCGCCCTGACCGAACCTCTACCGAACCATGAATTGCAAATTATCATTTAGATGCATTTGTATTCATTTGTATCGGGTATTTGTGGTGGCAGCCGAGACACCTTATTTGTCAAAATAAATTATGTCTTTACCGAATGTCTTAATAGTGTCGCTGATGACCAGGAATGTGCTGCGCTAACTACTTCGAAATAATACCATCCGCTAGGCCATTTGTTTCACTCGCTTTATGTTTCGGATCGGTTATCAATCGTCGGAAAATTTGCCACACTATTAGGTCAATTGTACTGTCATTTCAGGCCAATTACAATCGAGCAAAGTGGACAATGTTGAGCCTGAACGGTTTATTCGGACTTCACAAAGATATGGATAAAATGTTTAGTGCCAGTGCACTAATAATTGCAGGCTGTAACTGAAATAATAACAGTTGGCGTTGTTGGGATTCATTTTAATTTCTAACCTACAAACGTTCACCCATCTAGTATGGTCATAAAGTGTTTCTTGGAAATATTTTATTTTAAAAGGGCTCAATCAATGGATTATGGGATCACTCATGTTTGCGAGCGTAATTGCGCCAAGCGTCAACAGTGCACAAATAGCGGCAGGCACAAACCTTATTACTGGCAGGCCTTAGAAAACGTCAAATGTGCATGTGCTAATGTCAATATAACGGCGGCACTATTAGTGGCATAGCTGCTATGTGTGTTCCATACCTCTCTATTGCCTTACTAAGAGGTTTTTCTTCTTCCAACTGTCTTCAGTCGAACGTTAAAAGATCGTTTTTACCTAGACGAGTTGCTACTTTGAAAATTACTCGAAACTCGATCAAAAATTCATAAAAGCCTCATACTATGCGTATTTAAATAAAGTCGTGCAGAGATTCGACAAATGTTGACTCTCGGAAAGTGAATTGGGAAATCTGGGAAATGTCCGACGGGACTTTGATTTCCTCCATTAAAACATGCATTCTTCCTGTACGCTCTTTGAAAATGTCCAGGCTCTATTTATACTCGCTTGGCGACTGGGAATATTTCATTAAAATCGTGCATAAAATTCGAGATAAAATCACTTTAGAGTAGGCCTGGGTAACACTGTGCTGAGTTGCGCCGTTGAGTTAACGAGTTATAACTCATCGGTTAAGTCATTTACTGAAGCCTTATGAAACCCGAGACTGGAAATTGCACATCTATAAAAAAGTCTTTTTTTCTGAGTAACATTTTGCTACTTTGTTCAAACAACTAAAAAAAGTCATCTAGACTTTTCCAGCAACCGAACTGCTACAAAGAAAGTCGACGAGTTTTCTTGTAAAATCGATCTCATAATTTTTCGCATAAAAGATTCAGTTTTTTACAGTAAAACGTCAGGAAAAAACCGGTTTTTCCGTTTAGTGACAGTGTTTGTTTATAAATATTGACCTAAAAGTGAATAAACCCCAGTTATCAAGAGTTTTCCAAATTAATTATTAAAAACTCGCATTTTCAGTTCGGGGAAATATTTTTGGAAAAATACCCAGAATTAATTATTACGGTTTTGTCCATAACTCGAAGCTGCAAAAAGTTTTCCAAACATTTTTGCAAAGCGGTTAAAGAGGCGAGTGTTTCAATGAAATCTATTTTATAATTTTTACAGAAAATACCTGAAAATTGTCAGTATTTCAACTAAATAATAATGGGATTTTTGCGTAGAAAGAATTGCTTTACAGCAACTTTGTTAAAACAAGAATGACCTGAAAACGTAAAGAAACTTAACATATTTTCCAACTAATTTTTTGAAAACTTTTGCTCCCTGGCCGTTTTTTCAAGATAATCTTAATTACTTTCGGTAAAAAACTGAATAGAATTATTTGGTTTTTGTGCCAAATTCGAAGCTGAAAATGACCGATGAATGGGGCGAATTTTCTAGCAAAATTAATTTTGTTATTTTTGGCTGAAAAGTCCCCATTATTGTCATAAAAAAAGGAAATCATCAGAAAATAATGGTTTTTGCATTTTCGATTAAAAACTTTTAGTTTTGTGCTCGGGTTTGAAGAAAACCTTAACGGTTTTCGGGAAAAAACGGGAGAATTTATTTTCGTTTTTTCTCCTCCATTCTCCGAATTTCTCCAGAACGTCAGTATTTTTAAGTGAAACTCTACAAAATAGGGCGTTTTTGATTAGGAGGTAAACAAAAAAAAATTCAGTCAAACCTAAAAAAACACATTTTTTTTAACAAACTCTACAGTCTTGAGAGGAAATGAAGCGTCGAGATTTCAAAATAATCTGTTATAAACTTTCGCTTATTCTGCTCGTTTTTTAAAAGAAAATGATTTAATTTTTGTTCCAAATTCGACGCTGGAAAAGGATTTCAAAACTTTTCACAAAACGACCAAGAAGTCGAAAATTATTTTAAAAAATTGAGCATTTAGAAGAAAGAGTAAATTGACTAAAACCGGGCAATTCTGAAATTTTGAAGAAATTTTAAAAGTATTATTAACAAATGGTCCTTAAAATAAATCTAAAACAAGTAAAAAAGACATTTGCGTAGCATTGCGCCAACTCCTAAAAATTCACTGAGTTACCCAGGCCTAATTTAGAGGCGCGGCAAACGCTGAAAATGGTTGGAGATCCTTCCAACCGAAACGTTGTGAACGTGAGTTCGAATGAACGGAAAAAAAATGTGATAATCATGAGGCTTGAACTCGATTGCAAAGACTAAAGTAAATTTTGCAGTGAATTTTGCGTCCAACCGCCCATTTATATCGAATATGACCGACGGTTTTATGAGATTTTTAGCAAATTTGGCTTTTGTACGCCGAAAGCTTCAAGAGCGACTAGATACAGATGTAATTCCCAGCACGTCACCTGCGTAGGCAATTAATCAGTGCACTTGAAGAGCTGAAAAACCTAACAATATAGAAGAGATTTACAAGGGAACGAAACAAAAGTGTAGTTATATGATGCGAATGAATAATTACCGGCGTGAAATTTGAAATTGCCTTCTCTTTTTTCCTGCCTGGTACTTTTGGACAAGCATGCCGAATCGGTTTTGTTTAGTACTAATAAACATAGTGGCCACCTCTATACTAATAAAGGCTCTTCCTTTATATCGCGTACTATTGTGGCATTGAAATTAATGACTCTAAGAACAGTAGCGGAGAAAGATGAATGAGAGGAACCGCCCCGATTTCAATTTCCGTTTTTTACAATCTTTTGTTGTTATCTTTGTAAAGAGATAATTCGACTCCGGGCCTCTGAATCGGGCAATTTAAAATGTACAGTTCGGCGAAAGGTGGGGCCCGATATGCAAGTGGGATTTATTTAATAAATGCGAATCGAAATTTTGCCTGTTGTCCATCGGCGGTTTCACAAGACACGAAACTTATCGTTTAATTACTGTTCCCCTATCAGCTGAAACTGAACCAATCCGCCCAAAAATTCCATCACAAAATCCTCTATCTTGGCCTGTTCGCGGGACTGGAAAAAAACGGCTTTATCTATAATCGGACCTCTACAGCACCTTCAGCCTAATGTCGAGTTTTCGCTGAATTCATGTAACCGGGCCTGGTAATTAAAAAATAGCTAAACGAATACCCATAAATCTTAATATCTTTAATCTTCTATTAACTTTTAATAATGCCCAGACTGCGTTTTAAGGAAAACCACATTTGGCCGATTCAAAGAGGCACTGGACCTTTTGTGAAACTCATTAGGCGTTTACCGAACCATACGTATATAGAGACTAGAAGTCTCGCTAGAGACATATAGATATTCAGAGTGTTTGAGTTTGGAAGTTTTTAGGTCGTCGTCTCAGAGCGGTCAAATTATCTCTCAAGTTCTTCTTATTAAACAAATCAAACTTTGAGTAATTAAAAAGTCGATTTTTTCTATATCAAAATGCCAAAGGCA